AAATAAGCCTGAAAACGAAAAAGACTTTGAAACCGTCTCCAATAGGAAACGGGATGCCCGTAAGAGAAAGGCCTTGAAGAAAGCGGAGGAGAGGGAGCGACTTCAGAAGCGCCCCCCCAAAATTAGAACAACGGAGGCAATAAAAATTTCGGCCCGGAATCCAGAGACCTACTATGATCTTATAAAGCTGGCAACAACTTCGGTAAATCCAGAGGAAACTGGCACAGAGATTGTGAAAATTAGGAGAACTCTTAAAAAGGAGGTTCTCGTTGTGGTAAAAAAGGGGGGTGAAACTTCAAAGTTCGCTCAGAATCTTACCTCCGTTCTTCAGGACAAGGCCGAGGTTACGGCTCTTGTCAGTAAAAAGACCCTCGAAATTCGGGAACTTGACGAAACAACTTCAGAAGAGGACGTTTTAACCGTCTTAAAGCAGAAGTTGCAAAAGCCCGAGTTAGATGTGACTTTCCGACTTCTGACACGTTTTGGTGGTACGAAAGTGGCACTAGTACGCTTGTGTGAAACGGACAGCAAGAGTCTGCTTAAGCTAGGCAAAGTGCGTATTGGTTGGATAAACGCATCCATCCGAACGCACTTAGAAGTGACAAGATGTCAAAAGTGCCTAGCCTATGGACACGTGACCCGAATTTGCAAGGGCCCCGACAGAACAAAAAACTGTCGGAGATGCGGCGAAGCGGGACATTTCGCCAAGAGTTGTACTGGCGACAAGCCAAAGTGCATTACGTGTACAGATTTGGGAAAAACGGAAGTCAACCATATCCCTGGAAGAATTTTCTGCCCGGTTTACAAGGAGGAACTGGAGAAACTTGAAAGAACAAATCCCTAAAGCTCCTTCAAGTCAACCTGCATACAAGTAAGGATGCACAGGTGCTCCTGATGCAAACAGCTAGGGAAAATGAGGTCAATATCCTGTTCTGCAGTGAGCAGTATCAAGGAAGCGACCTCGCACCTTGGTATCAGGTTAAGGCGAAGAGAGCCGCCATCAAGCTGTGCAACCCAGAATTGCGGGTTGACAAGTTCTTGGAGACAAGCAGCGGGTTTGTGTGGATAGAGGTGGCTAATATACGTATGTATAGCTGCTACTTCTCACCCAACGACCCGCTGACCACCTTCGAAGCCAATATAGAAGACCTAGAATCGAGCCTCATAGAATCCAAGCTGGATGTCATCATCACTGGCGATTTTAATGCAAAGTCGCCAGAGTGGGGTGAGACGAGGCTCGACAAGAGAGGAATTCTGATTGGAGAAATGATCTCCAAGAACGATTTATTAGTTGTAAACCGGGAAAAACATGGACGTTTAGACGAGGTGCGATCGGATCGATTATAGATCTAACGATCGCATCGTCTAATATATTTAGCCGCATAAGCGACTGGCGGGTCTCTGAGGAATATACCGCAAGTGACCACCAGTACATTGAGTTCTCAGTCTCAATGGGAGACACACGAGGAGGAAAAAGACAGGAAGCTCCTAGTCGCAAAACCTCCTCGTGGAACATTAAGAAACTCAACAAGGAGAAGTTCAGCCGGTCCCTAGAAGAATCTATCTTAATTGAGGATTCTGGTTGGGTGAGGAGGCCGAAAAGTCTAAATGGAGAGGTGCGAGCGGTGCGAAATATAATCTTCACCGCTTGCAATGCGTCGATGCCACGTCGCAAAGGAGCCTTTCCAAGGAAAAAATCCTTGCACTGGTAGTCAGAAAAGCTAACCTCCTTGAGAAAGGAATGCCTCAAAGCAAGAAGGACATACACCCGATCTAAGGGAGATCCCTTGCTGAAAGAGGCTTTCAAGGAGGCGAAAAAGAACCTCAAGAAAGAGATCCGTAAGTCGCGACGCCGTAGCTGGAAGGACCTAATCGAGGAAGTCGATAAGGACCCATGGGGTCTGGCTTTTAAAATCGTGACTAAGAAATTAGTGACGAGGCAAAAGACCCCCGGCCTGGACAATCCCGATTGGGTCAGAAAGATAATAAGTTCTTTGTTTCCTCCTGCAGAACCATACCTTAGACGGGACTGGAGTTCTTGCAAAGTCGGAGAGGAAGAACTCTTCACACTTAGCGAATTGCACAAAGCAGGCAAATGATTGAAAACAGGCAAGGCGCCTGGAATCGATGGGATAAGTAACGAGATCCTAAAGTTGGTAATTGACACTTTACCCCAGATTCTGCTTCGATGCTTCAATCTTTGCCTTGAGAGAGGACAGTTCTTCCGCGACTGGAAGCGACAGAGGTTAGTCCTCTTGAGGAAAGGCGAAAAACCTCTAGATAAAGTCTCATCATACAGGCCTATATGCGAATGGATCTACCCGAAGGTGCGGTGATCATTGGCTTTGCGGACGACGCGTTGTTCGTGTGCACTGCCGAAAGTGAGGAGGCTCTTGGGACATTGGTGAACGAATGTCTGCGACTAGCAAAAAGCTGGCTGGATACCAGAGGTCTTGAAATGGCCCTGGAAAAGACCGAGGCACTGCTGGTCACAGACAGACGTGGTTATGAGCTCCCACGAATCGTGATAGACGGATTCGAGGTCAAGTGGAGTAAGCAAATTAAATATCTTGGTGTGGAGTTGGATGGAAGGTTAAACTTCCACCACCACATGGCTACGGCGTCAAATAAGGCGATCGAGTGTGCGGCTAATCTTTCACGGTTAATGCCAAATGTAGGCGGACCCCGTGAACACAAACGGAGACTGGTGGCAAGTGTCGCCCACGCTAAAATGCTCTATGCAGCACCAGCGTGGGCCCCATCCCTGAGGTGCAAAAGATGTGTGACCATCTGTGAAAAGATACTGTCGGCGCAGAGATCGATAACAACGCGTATCATCTCTGCATATAAGACGGTATCTACGAGTGCTGTGCAGGTCCTTGCAAGTGTCCCGCCAGCAGATCTTTTGGCGAGGGAAAGGGAAGAAATGTTTCTCTTTTCTAAAGAAAGAAGTTCCTTAGATGAGGAAATAAGACCAAGCAAGGGCCTGATCCGCAAAGAAGCGAGGCACAGGCTCATAGAAAGATGGCAAGAAAGATGGGATGGTGAGGAAAAAGGTCGATGGACTTATCGCCTTATCCCGGCACTCGCCACCTGGATAAATAGGAAACACGGTCAGGTTTCCTATTATTTGACTCAGGCGCTCACAGGTCACGGGTGTTTTAACTCGTACCTGTGTCGCTTTAAATTACGCGAGGACGAGGTGTGTGCATATTGCCAGTTCCCTGAGGACAACGCGGAGCACACCCTCTTCTCATGCAGAAAATGGGACTTGGAGAGGCAGGCCATGTTCGAAGGTGTAAACAGTCAAGTTACACCGGAGAACATGGTATCGCTGATGACCCAGTCAGAAGAGAATTGGCGGAAAGTCGAGAACTTCATAATCTCGGTTATGTCGAGGAAGGATCTCGACGGCCGCCAAAAAGCGTAATTTAAACAGCTTTTAATTTTGTACGTTTGTTTTTTATTAATTTATCTTGTGATTTATTTGTCCTTATACATTTTTTACTTGTTTGTGTTTTTTATTCATCTTTGTACAGTTTTAGGTTTTCAATATTTTATTCGCGTTTATTTTTTCTTTTTTTTATATATCCGTTTGTAATTTTATCTTTTGACTTTTTACACTTTTTAGAATTTGCTTTTTTATTGTTGTGCTGTTAATTCCGCTTTATATTGAAATAGTTTTGAATTTTTAACTATTAACGCAGGATGACCGCAGAGAAAAGCAGAAAGTCGCAATAGCGACAGAGTTGGAGCGCCACCCGCGAAGGCTAAAGTCTTACGACAGTTCCGAGGGAGGGTAAAGGGCTCCAAAAGAAGGGTTACGGGTTTTAGTGGGTCGGGCTGGCGGTAGGTCGCCAGTTTATTAAATTTACTATTTTATATATTTATTTTTAAATTTTTTTTATTTCCTTTTGTTTTATCACACCAACCCCACATAACCTTGGAGTGCGGAGTCCAAGGTATCTGTAGGCAGATTTCCCAAAATTCCCTAAGCAAAAAAAAATAATAATAATAATAATAATAATAATAATAATAATAATAATAATAATAATGTAATTAATTAATGAATTTTATGAAAATAGTAAATATTGAAAATCGTCGACCTGCTGTATCTAAACTTTAGAAAATAATTGAAATTTTGCAAAGAATTTCATTTAAATTTGTGAAAATAATTGAATTTTTGTAGAAAATTTTTGCTATTTATAAAGATAATTGAATTCTTGATGAGATATTCGTTAAAATTCGACGAATTCTAATAACATGTTTGAGAATAATTACATTTTTTGAGGAATTCGATTAAAATTGCGTTAAAAATAATTAAAATGTAGCGATAAAATTTATTATTTATAAAAATAATGGCATTTTTTCTTAAGAAATTTATTTAAAAAAATTAAAATAATTGAATAGCTGCGAAATTTCTTATTATTTATGAAAATATTTAAATGTTTGCAAAGCATTTTAACAATAAAATTTTAGATAATCGAATTCATTTAAAATACTTTTTAAAATAATTGAAATTTTGACAAAAATTGTATTAAAATTCTTAAAAATAATTGAATTGCAGAAGCAAAGAAATTTGTTTTTTATCAATATAATTGCGTTAAAACTTAAAATAATTAAATAATGTTAAAACATTCATTCTTGTCAGAAATAAAAAAAAATTTTGAAGCTTTTGTATCAGAATTCGTTATTGTTTCATAAATTATAAGGCAAACATTAAAAAAACATAAAAAATTCAAAATTTTCTTCAGAATTCTAAAAAGTTAATTTTTTTCAGTACTTTTTATGAAAAAACTTTTCCCTGATTTCCCAGACCTGTGGTAACCTTGGACGAAGAGTGAACGAGAGAGAATAAGAGGAAATAAGGGAGAATAAGAGTTAAGAAGAGAAAAGAGGAGAGAATCTTTTTATATTTTTTTATTTACTTTTTAGGTATAATATAGTTAGAAATAAGTGATAGTAATGATTTATAGTATCGATATAATAATATATCGATACTATATAAAGTGATAGTAATTAATAAAAATGATGATTAATAATAAAGTCCTTGACCACCTCCTCTTCCACCCCTTCCACCTCTTCCACCGCGTCCTCTGCCTCCACCACGATATTTTTTCTCCGACAGCAGGTCCATAAGGAGATGTTTAACATCTTTCATATCTTTCTGCAAGCAAATAATTATTAATTAATTATTATTATTATCAAGAAAAGCAAAATACTAACAATTCAATTAAAGAAGTTCGCAAAAATTGTTAGAAAGATTTTTCGTTTAAAAAAAAATTGGAATTAAAAAATAGAATAAAATAAGACGGAATGAGAGAGAATTAGATGTAAGAAGAGAGAATGAAAGAGTATAAGAGTGAATGAGATAAAGTATGAGAGAATGAGGGAAAATAAGAAAGAATGAGAGAGATTAAGAGAGAATAAGGGTAAACGAGAGTAAATAAAAGAAAGTAAAAAAGAAGGTCTAAAATAATTTTTTTAATGTACTAATTTTCAAAATATTTGTTATTTATAATTGAGTACAATAGTGTATTTCCAGTAAATTTTTACTTACTGTCTAAATTTGAATTAGTAAAAATGATTACTAATTTTATTTAGTGACTACCGTAAGTGAGGCTAAATTCGCTCAATTTTTCAATTCTTTTTTAAATAACTTCGGGAAACGATGAAAATAAACATTGGCACTGAAAATATATAATCTTTAACCCTTTATCTTTCCTATTACTGCATAAAGAAATTGAAATATGTTGCAGAAAATTATTTATAAGCCGTTTTTTTGTGAGCGAATTTACCTTTAAATGATGGGTAAATTCGCTCACCATTATTATTCTGGCAAAATATATTATAATCTGCAAAAATGAAACTAAATATTCTTTAGAATCAATAAAGAAAAAAATTAAGAACAATATTCAAAGTTATTGGAATAAATATTTAATATTGTTTTATCAATAAGTAATTAGATTCAATCATTCAATAAAACGTACTCATAACCATAAAAAAACAAGGTTAAGTTTGACAGTTTAGTGCTTAAACCGTTTTAAATCGTTTAATTTTCAGTTATAAGAGTACTATTATTTCAAAAAATCGAATTATAAATTAAAGTAATTAACATACTTAAAATATCCAGGCCCAAACATCTTTTTTGTAGACTTATTTCCTGAGCGAATTTACACAACAAATTTGAATTTTTTTTTTTTAATTGATTAATTGAATTTTATTAATTTTGAAAATAATTGAATTACTGCGAAGAATTTAATGTCAAATTTTTAAATAATTTATTGATTAAAATAATTATTGAAAATCATTGAAAATTAAAAAATTAGATTTGCAATAAATTTTATTAAAATTTTTAAAAATAACTAAATTATTATTTTACTGCGAAGAATTTAATGACAAATTTTAAAATAATTGATTGATTAAAATAATTATTGAAAATAATTGAAAAATTGCAATGAATTAAATTAAAATTTTTGAAAATAATTGAATTTTATTACTCCTGAAAATAATTGAATTACTCCGAAGAATCTAATGGCAAATTTTAAAGTAATTGATTTTTGCGAAAAAAATTATGCAAATAAAAGAAAGTAAGAAGAGAATGAGAGAAAATAGAAAAGATTAAGGGTAAACGAGAGAGAATAAAAGAAAGTAAGAGAGAAAAAAATTATGCAAAAAAAAATTATGCGAAAAAAATTATGCAAATAAAAGAAAGTAAGAAGAGAATGAGAGAAAATAGAAAAGATTAAGGGTAAACGAGAGAGAATAAAAGAAAGTAAGAGAGAATGAGAGAAAATAAGAGTGAATGTGAGAGATTAAGGGTAAACGAGAGAGAATAAAAGAAAGTAAGAGAGAATGAGAGAAAATAAGAGTGAATGAGAGGGAATAAAAGAATTTAAAAAAATGAGAGAGATTAAGAAGGAATAAGGGTGAACGAGAGAGAATAAAAGAAAGTAAGAGAAAATAAGATAGATTAAAGAAGAACGAACAAGATTAAGAGTGAATAAGATGAAGTAATAGAGAATAAGGGAAAATAAGAGAGCATAGGAGAGAATATAAGGGAATGAGAGAGATTAAAAGAAAGAAAGAGAGAATAAGAGAAAATAATAGTGAATGAGAGAAATTGAGAGAGATTAAGAGTGAACGAGAGAGAATAGCTGACAATAAGAGAGAATAAAAGATAATAGGAGAGAATAAGAGAAAATAAGAGTGAATAAGATAAAGTAGGAGAGAATGAGATAAAGTAAGAAAGAATGAGAGAAAATAAGAGAGATTAAGAGTGAATGAGAGAGATGAAAAGAATGTAAGATAGAATGAGAGAAAATAAAAGTTAATGAGAGGGAATAAAAAAAATTAAGAGAGAATGAGGGAAAATGAGAGAGAATGAGAGAATAAGAGAGATAAAAAGAAAGTAAGAAAGAATGATAGAAAATAAGAGTGAATGAGAGAAAATAAGAAAGGTTAAGAGTGAATGAGAGAGATTAAAAGAAAGTAAGACAGAATGAGAGAAAATAAGAATGAAAGACAGGGAATGAAAGAAAGTAAGAGAAAATGTGAGAAAACAAAAGTGAATGAGAGGGAATAAAAGAAATTAAGAGAGAATGAGGGAGAATGAGAGAAAATGAGAGAATAAGAGAGGTAAAGAGAAAGTAAGAAAGAATGATAGAAAATAACAGTGAATGAGAGAGATTAAAAGAAAGTAAGAGAGAAAATAAGAAGGAAAGAGAGGGAATGAAAGAAAGTAAGAGAAAATGTGAGAAAACAAAAGTGAATGAGAGGGAATAAAAGAAATTAAGAGAGAATGAGGAAAAATGAGAGAATAAGAGAGATTAAAAAAGGTAAGAAAGAATGATAGAAAATAAAAGTGAATGGGAAAAAATGATAGAGATAAAGGGTGAACGAGAGAGAATTGTTGACAATAAGAGAGAATGGGGGACATTAAGAGAGAATGAGGGTGAACGAGAGAGAATGAAAGATAGTTAAAGAGTAGATGAGAGAAAATAAGAGATAAGGAAAGAAAATGAGAATGATTAAGGGTGAACGATAGAAAATAGTTGACATTAAAAGAGAATGAGTGAGATTAAGAGAGAATAAGGGTGAAAGAGAGAATAAAAGATAATAGGAGAGAATGAGAGAAAATAATAATGAACGAGATAAAGTAAGAGAGAATGAGGGAAAATAAGAATGAATGAGAGAAAATGAGACATATTAAGGGTGAACGAGAGAGAATAGTTGACAATAAGAAAGAATGAGAAAGATTAAGAGAGAATGAGAGAGAGAGAGAGAGAGAGAGAGAGAGAGAGAGAGAGAGAGAGAGAGAGATTTAATGTTAATAAAATTGGGTTTCTTACTTTGTTTTTTTCTCCTTCTTTGACGGCGCATTTGGATGTTCAAGTGCCGCATTTCGTATACGGGCAGCGTTGGAGGAGCTCCCTCTCGCATTTATTAAATCTCCCTGCAACCTTGACATAACTGCCATTTGTTGCATGGCGAGAAATTGCTCGTTGGCAGCTGCTTGAATTTGTGGGAAACTACTTCCCATATACGGCTGTGCAGGATATACTTGAGGTGGGAAATACACATTTGGAGGAAGAGGAGGAAGTGCGGCGTTATATGGAATTGGCAGGTACATCTGCGGATTATGCTGGAATCCGCCCATTTGGCCCATTCCAAAATTCATTGGCGATTGTGGGTGTACATAGAATTGGTTTTGCTGCTGTCGTGGACGCCCATAATTATGAACAAACCCTTCCTCAATACATTCTTCCTCCTCTTCCTCGAATTCCTCATTATGCCAGCGATTTCTTGGTGGCAACGGCAATCCGGTCCTAAAAGCGGCCGGTGGTGGTCCCAGTGGGACAGCTGGTCCTGCTGCGATTTGAACTGCAGCACCACCTGTCGTCGGTGGTGCTGCTGTTTGAGCTGCGGCCGGTGGTGGTCCCAGTGGGACAGCTGGTCCTGCTGCAATTTGAACTGCATCACCACCGACGACAGGTGGTGCTGCTGTTTGAGCTGTCGCTGCCCCGGAGCTTCTAGTTCGAACTGATTTTGGTGGTATTGTAGAAGCTGTAAAAAAAAGAAAAATTATTATTTTATAAAAAAAATAATGTCACTTAGAGGTGTGAAAATTACAATCGATAGAAAATTCGATTCGAACTTGCCAATTCGAAATCAAAGGTTCTAATTTCGAATTGCTCAACTCGACTCGGTCTACTTTCGATTCGAATTGGCAAGTTCGAATCGAATTTTCTCTCGATTTGAATCGGCCAATTAAAAATATGAAAAGTTCAAATTTTTAAAGATTTTAATTTGAAATTAATTTTTAAATCAATTTTTATTAGAAAAGTGTAAGAGAATTAAATTATTTATCTATAAAAAGAAATATTTTATTAAACAATTGAATATTTCTTAAAATTGAATTTCCATAAAGAATTTTATCAACAAATTTGTAAATAATTAAATTCACTTGAAAAATTTTAATGAAAATTTTTAAGAATAATTTCATTTTTCGAGAAATTTGAAGAAAATTGTAATAAAAATTAAATTAAAAAATTAAATTCTCTTGACAAATTTTCATAAAAATTTTTAAGAATAATTGCATTTTTCGATAAATTTGAAGAAAATTGTAATAAAAATAATTTAAATTCTGTCAATAATTTTATTAAAAAGATTTGAAAATAATTGAATTGTGGAGAAAAATATTATTTATAAAGAGAATTGAAATTTTGACGATAATTTTTGTAAATTTTTAAACATAATTGTATTTTTTAGAAAAATTTTATTAAAATTATATTGAAAAAAATGTAATTGTTACGCAAAGAATTTCATTAAAATTTTTGAAAATAATTTTATTCTGTAAAGAAAATTAATTAAAAATGTATTGAAAATAATACTTAAATTCTAATGAACAAATTGTAGCACAGGTTATTAAAATAATTAAATTTCTTTGATAAATTTTAATAAAATTTTTGAGAACAATAACTTTTTTTGAGGAATTGTATTAAAATTGTTTTAAAAATAATTGAAATTCAGCATTGAGTTTTATTATTTATGAAAATAATATATCTAAATAATTTTTTATTTATTTTTTTAACTTTTTTTTGAAATATTAAAGTGAAATTAAATTTCAAAAATAAACACTATAACTTTGGAAAACAACAATTTTCCAGGTTTCAGATAAAAATTCCCAGACTATTTAAGTTTTTTCTCTAAGAATTCCAAAAAACTTTTGAAAATGATTGAAATTTTGCAAAGAATTTTATTTTTAAATTGTTAAAGATAATTGAATTTTGGGTAAAAATTTTGTTATTTATAAAGATTATTAAATTTCTTTAAACAATTTTATTAGTTTTAAAAATAATTGAATTGTAGTGATGACTATTGCTTACCGTTACCACGTTTTTTATTAACTGCACCTCCCTTTTTATTTTTCCCCATTTCTTCACCTAAAAATACATAAATATTTTATTAAAAATTTTAAAAACTCATTTTTACAATTATTTTAACAATAATAACATAAAAAATAATTAATTTTAACACCGATGTAAATCAGTTACAATCTTACCTTTTTTTTCTCGTTTGCAACAAATGGTTTCATCACTGTTTTACAAAAACGATTATATAGATAGAGTCTTTTAATTGGATAAAATCCGGATTGTTGCAGACAATTCTCGTATTCGTTGCAGACAGCTTTCGGATTGTTTCGTACTTGTTTCGGAATAGGATTTTGCCACACTTAATTTTAAATTGTTGCGGACTAATACCGGATTTCTAGCTTACAGATTTCGGATTGCTCCGGACATTTTGCGGATAAAGTTTTTTTAACTAGATTAAGTTCGGATTGTTGCGGACTGATTCCGTATTCTTTACATATTGATTTCGGATGATTCCGTACTTATTTTAGAAGAATTCTTTACCGGTCATAAGTTTGGATTGTTGCGGACTAATTACGGACTGAATTCGTAGACATTCAGGATTACTCCGGAGTGTTTTCGGATTCAGGTTTTCGTTCGGATTGATATCAGACTAGCGCGGATCATTTTCGGACCTTTTTCGTACAATTTTCGGACTAATCCGTACTAATCTGACTAATACGGAATTAGTCCGAAATTTTTACCAGGGAAGTAATTGAATTCCTGTTAAATTTTTATTAAAATTTTGATTAAATAATAGAATTCTTTTGGAAACTTTTATTAAAATAGTACATATTAAAAATAATTACACAAAAAAATTCAGAATTTTCTTATAAATTATAAAAATTTAATTTTTTCTAGCACTTTTAATAAAAATCCCTGACTTTTCTCTAACTTCCCTGACCAATTCTAATTGCCCTGACTTTTCCCTGAATTCCTGAATTACTGTTGATGTATGTCGCTTTCTTGTGAAAGAAAATTTTATAACAGAGAATCCAGAAAAATTTATTAGCGATTGGTTCGAAAATTAAGAAGGTGATTGTGGCTGGGAGTCAATGTCGGACACTGAAATTGTGAATTTTGTAAAAAATGGCAGAGTGGAGCTAGAAAGAATTGACGAAAATCAAGTCATGGATGATAAAAACAGTTCTGACTTGGTTCCTCAACAACAAGAACTTACATCTGAAAAGGCTTTCGAAAGTTTACAACCATTTAAATCGTGGGTTCGAAAAAATACCAGTCCCAAAAATTTTAATAAAGTGTTAATATGTTTTGAAGAAATAGAAAAATTAGTAAAATCAGATTCTTAAAATTTTTTTTAAGATAATCACACTTTAATGGTAAAACCAGTTTTCACACTGTGCCCGAACCAAAAAAAAAAGTTTGACAAAAATGGATCCACAGTCTGGTTGTCGGGAATGTTTCTGCATCATACCAAATGTAAAAAATCGTTGGGATCAAAATCCTAGCTGATCCTTTTTTCGAGTTATCAATATATTTACATGCAAATTTTTGCAAAACGTTTAAATTAAAACTTTGTTACTTCATGTAGGCAATCCATTTATGCAAAAGGTATCTTAAATATTTTTTATATGTAAATATATATCATTACATTTAAAACAAGACCTAAATAAAGAAAATTGATTAATATTTATCAAAATTTCGGGGTTTTTCAATATAAAGTTTAGTTAAAAGTTGGTTTTGAACTTTTTTGATATTTCAGGTAATATTTCCGTAACCTTTATATTTCTTTTAAGTGTATTAATTATATTTTAATAATATTTGCACAAAATTTTATTTATTTGATTGAAAATATAAAAACAATAAGACATATTATGTAGACAAATACAAAAAAAATTTTTATTACGTTAGGGTCCCCACTTTGCCCCACATTCCCCTAGTTGGACACTTAAGGATACGTTCTTATTAAAGGTGTGCATTTAATCGAGTTAAACCGAACATTAATCGACTCGACAACAGAAAATTTGAATCGGAGATAATTCGATTCGAACTAGTCAATTCGAAAATCGGCATTTCGAATTTCGAATTGCTCAACTCGACTCGGTCTACTTTCGATTCGAATCGGCCAATTCGAAGTTTCCACTTTCGAATTGCTCGACTCGATTTGATTTTCGAATAAATTCGGCCAATTCGAAACACAACATACTGCAACACATCATAGCACATTACATAGAAATTCGAAAGTCTAACTTCGATTTTCGAATTGGCCGACTTTATTCGAAAATCGAGTCGAGTTGAGTAATTAGAAATTCGAAACTTCGAATTGGCCGATTCGAATCGAAAGTAGACCGAGTCGAGTTGTGCAATTCGAACCTTTGAATTTCGAATTGGCAAGTTCGAATCGAATTTTGCACACCTCTAGTTCTTATATTATGCATTTTTTCTTTAAATAACAAATAGTTACTGCTTGTTTGAGCACATCAATTAAAGGAGTTATTCACGATTAAAAATCATATTAATTTGTTACAAATACTTGAGTATTTAATAAAATATAGTTAAAGCATTTTAATGAAAAATCACGAAAGCTTCAGTAGTAGGAAATAATTTTTTAATTGCTTACTGCTGGAAAATTGAATTAAAGCTCATTAGAAGTTGATAATATAATACTTAAATCTTATAAGTTTTAATATTTATGATTAATTATCAACAAAACTTTGTGCTACTCATTACGCTACTCGATAATGGTTGTATCTATAGTCGGACACTATGATTTTTAAAATAAAAGATAAAAAATCTTTTGTGCTATAACGTCTATGTAACTAACAGAGGCGGTTCAGGGCCTATCTTGGCCAGATGGTAGTACCCTGATTAAGCTCGATCGTTCCCTCGACACGGGACAAAGAAATTAAAAAAAATGAATGTAATGGACAAGATTTTAAATGAAATACTCCAAGTGGGTACCTCGAAAGAGGGTAATCCCACCACCGATTCTGATCGGGTGCAAGCCCCGATAGTCGGTGCAGATGGCTCCAAGGATTTTGGAGGGAGACAAATAGATAGCCAGCTGACATGCTACGAATCAAATGTCGCAAATCAGTTCCTGGCTATTTCCGGAATTTTCAAGAGTGTGCGTCAAGCATTCAAACGCCAAAAGAACGTCAGTCGTGACATCCTGGATGGCGTGGCGGTTTTAGAGGGTGCGTTCTTTACAATTTGTAGGAATCTGCGTTTTATCCCTGAACCGTTCAGGGATCAGGAGCCACGGACTCCAGCTGTAGGAACTCCAAGGCAAACGAGGAGTGCTGCTGCAACTTTGGATAGTGCAGCAGCTGCAGATTGTAATAAGGCAAAGAAGGTGAGCAAGCGCCTTAGGGAAGGCGGAAGCCCGAATAAGAGTCCACAACAAGCGACTCAAAGTGAAAAGAGGATTAATCGAAACGATGCTCCACAGCTTAATCCTGAGTCGCTAGTTGAAGCAAAAGAGGCGTCCTCAAGTAGTCCTAGTAAGACGTATGCCGAGACCGTCTTGAAAGACGGAGCGGACAATGAGGACGGCTTTAAAGTTGTTGGAAAGAGAAGGGAACGGGCTCCAAGAAAAAAGCCCCCAGGCGAGAAAAAAGAGCTCTCAAAACACCCTTTGAAGCTTAGAACCACGGAAGCGGTAAATATCACGGCAAGAGACCCAAAATCTTATGAGGGTATCTTGCCGCTGATAAAATCAAAGGTTAAACAAGAAGACACTGGTACCGTGATTTAAAAAAATCAGAAGAACCTTTAAACAGGAGGTTCTCCTGATAGTGAAAAAGGGTGGAGAGACCTTAAAATTTGCAGAGAGTCTGTCCTTGGCCCTGCATGGCGAGGCCGAGGTCATACCTCTAGTAAATAAGAGGTCTCTAGAAATCAAAGACATGGATGAAGCCACTACAGAGACTGAGGTGACTTCAGCACTGACAATGAGAGAAAAGCTGGGTAAACCCGACCTGAAGATGGAGTGCCGACTTTTGCCGCGCTACAGAGGAACTAAGGTTGCTCTGGTACGCCTGACAGAGGCAGAAAGTAACACTCTGCTAATGTTTAGTAAAATGAAAATCGGCTGGATAAATGCTCCAATTCGCGAGCATGTTGAAGTAGCTAGGTGCCAAAAGTACCTAGGTTACGGACACAGAACCCTATCCTGCAAAGGCCCCGACAGAAGTAAAAACTGTCGGAGATGCGGCGAAGAGGGACATCTCGCGAAGAGCTGTAACGTTAAGCCGAAGTGTCTTACTTGCTTGGACCTGGGGAAGCCGGAAACGGATCATGAGTCCGGAAAGAGAGCCTGTCCGGTTTACAGGGAAGAACTGCAAAAGATTAAAAGGGCAAATCCTTAAAATTTTTGCAGGTCAACCTGCATACAAGTAAGGATGCACAGTTGCTCCTAATGTAAACAGCAAGGGAAAATGAGGTCGATATCCTGTTCTGCAGTGAGAAGTATCAAGGAAGCGACCTCGCCCCTTGGTATCAGGATAAGGCGAAGAGAGCCGCCATAAAGCTGTGCAACCCAGAATTGCGGGTTGACAAGTTTCTGGAGACGAGCAGTGGGTTCGTGTGGATAGAGGTAACTAATATACGTATGTATAGCTGCTACTTTTCACCCAACGACCCACTGACAAACTTCGAAGCCAATATCGAAGACCTAGAAGCAAGCCTCACAGAATCCAGGCTGGATGTCATCATCACTGGCGATTTTAAAGCAAAATCGCCAGAGTGGGGTGAGACGAGACTCGACAAGAGAGGAATTCGTATAGGAGAAATGATCTCCAGAAACGACTTATTGGCTGTAAACCGAGGCAATACATGGACTTTTAGACGAGGTGCGATCGGATCAATTATAGATCTAACAATCGCATCGTCTAAACTATTCAGCCGCATAACCGACTGGCGGGTCTCTGAGGAATATACCGCAAGTGACCACCAGTACATTGAGTTCTCAGTCTCGATGGGAGACACACGATTGGGATTGCACGGTACTCAACATTTTTTCAGTGAAGGAAAAAATCCTTGCACTGGTGGTCAGAGAAGCTTGCCTCCTTGAGAAAGAAATGCCTCAAAGCAAGAAGGACATATACCCGATCTAAGGGAGATCCCTTGCTGAAAGAGGCTTTCAAGGAGGCGAAAAAGAACCTCAAGAAAGAGATCCGCAAGTCGCGACGCCGTAGCTGGAAGGACCTAATCGAGGAAGTCGATAAGGACCCATGGGGTCTGGCTTTTAAAATCGTTACTAAGAAATTAGCGACGAGGCGAAAGACCCCCGGCCTGGACAATCCCGATTGGGTCATAAAGATAATAAATTCTTTGTTTCCTCCTGCAGAGCCATACCTTAGAAGGGACTGGAGTTTTTGCAAAGTCAAAGAGGAAGAACTCTTCACACTTAGTGAACTACAAAAACAGGCAAAAGATTGAAAACAGGCAAGGCGCCTGGAATCGATGGGATTAGTAACGAGATCCTAAAGTTGGTTATCGACACTTCACCCCAGATTCTGCTTCGATGCTTTGATCTTTGCCTTGAGAAAGGAGAGTTCTTCCGCGACTGTAAGCGACTGAGGTTAGTCCTCCTGAGAAAAGGTGAAAAACCTCTAGATAAGGTTTTATCATACAGGCCTATATGCCTGCTAGATACGATGGGTAAACTTCTAGAGGATATAATTCTGCAGAGAATGCAAAGCCACTTGACCGGAGAGAATAGTCTATCGGATCACCAATTTGGTTTCCGTAAAGGCAAATCCACAGTTGATGCTATCCAGGCAGTTGTGGACATAGCCAAAGCAGGAAAAAACAAATTGGGACCTGGAAAAAAGAAGAGCTTCTGCGCGTTGGTAGCAATTGACTGCGCAATGCGTTTAATTCCGCAAGATGGAAAGATCTTATCGAGTCGATGAAAAAGAAAAACATGCCGCCCTACTTGTTGCGGATAATGGATAATTATCTTAGCGACAGGTGGGTTATATATGAGGAAGACACCTTCACTCTCAGGGAAGAGATGCAGCGTGGGGCTCCTCAAGGCTCAAAGGTGGGTCCATTGTCCATTGAATGTCTGCGATTAGCAAAAAGCTGGCTAGATACCAGAGGTCTTGAAATGGCCCTGGAAAAGACCGAGGCACTGCTGGTCACAGACAGACGTGGTTATGAGCTCCCTCGAATCGTGATAGACGGATTCGAGGTCAAGTGGAGTAAGCAAATTAAATATCTTGGTGTGGAGTTGGATGGAAGGTTAAACTTCCACCACCACATGGCTACGGCGTCAAATAAGGCGATCGAGTGTGCGGCTAATCTTTTACGGTTAATGCCGAACGTAGGCGGACCCCGTGAACAAAAACGGAGACTGGTGGCGAGTGTCGCCCACGCTAAAATGCTCTATGCAGCACCAGCGTGGGCCCCATCCCTGAGAAGTAAAAGATGTGTGACTATCTGTGAAAAGGTACTGTCGGCGCAGAGATCGATAACAACGTGTATCATCTTTGCATATAAGACGGTATCTACGAGTGCTGTACAGGTCCTTGCAAGTGTCCCGCCATTAGATCTTTTGGCGAGGGAAAGGGAAGAAATGTTTCTCTTTTCTAAAGAAAGCAGTTCCTTGGATGAGGAATTAAGACCAAGCAAGGGCCTGATCCGCAAAGAAGCGAGGCACAGGCTCATAGAAAGATGGCAAGAAAGATGGGATGGTGAGGAAAAAGGTCGATGGACTTATCGCCTTATCCCAGCACTCGCCACCTGGATAAATAGGAAACATGGTCAGGTTTCCTATTATCTGACTCAGGCGCTTACAGGTCACGGGTGTTTTAACTCGTACCTGTGTCCCTTTAAATTACGCGAGGACGAGGTGTGTGCATATTGCCAGTTCCCTGAGGACAACGCGGAGCACACCCTCTTCTCATGCAAGAAATGGGACTTGGAGAGGCGGGCCATGTTCGAAGGTGTAAACAGACAAGTTACACCGGAGAACATGGTATCGCTGATGACCCAGTCAGAAGAAAATTGGCGGCATGTCGAGAACTTTATAATCTCGGTTATGTCGAGGAAGGATCTCGACGGTCGCCAAAAAGCGTAATTTAAACAGCTTTTAATTTGTTTTGTTTGTTTTTTATTAATTTATTTTGTGATTTATTTGTCCTTATACATTTTTTAATTGTTTTGTGTTTTTTATTCATCTTTGTACAGTTTTGTCTTTTCAACATTATATACGTGTTTACTTTTGTTTCTTTTCTTTTTTATGTCCGTTTGCGATTTTGTCGTTTGACTTTTTAAACTTTTTAAAAAAAATTTTGTTTTTTTTTTAATTATTGTTGTGCTGTAAATTACGCTTAGACTATGAAATAGTTTTAATAATTTTTTTTAACTATGGACGCAGGAAAACCGCAAAGAGAAGAAGAAAGTCGCATTAGCGACAAAGTTGAGCATCTGCCTCTAGAGGAACTATAGCCAATTCTTTAAAAATAAACTCATTGCAGGGTTTTTTAAAACCTTGAACGTCTACTATGAACTCCATTTTTTGAATAGAAATGTGTTTCTACTTCAGGGATGTGTCTTATATACCTCTTTACTTCACCCCCCACCACTTTGTTTCCCTCTCCACTCCTTATAACTTTTTAATAATCCCACTGATTGGTTTATACTGAACTATACGATCATGTATAACGAGACAATATGCAGTTGTATTATCAGGTATATTTTCTCTGGCTTCAAATTCTAAACGTACATCGACTGCAGACTGCTTCAAAAACTCATTTTGTTTTGAACAATCAATAACAATTAAAGGTGCATTTGATTTAAAAATATCAATCGCTAAAGTAGGTTCAGCATCTTTTCCATAATAAGAAGATTGAAAATTAGCATACATTTCATATAATATAGAATACTGATTTTGATCAAAATTTATATTTAAATTTCCATAAGGGTAAGATTGTGAGTTCAAAAAGAGTTTTACATTTCTAATATTACAATGATCAAAGTAACAGAATGTTTCTTTGAGTTGATTCTTTCTTCCAGTTTGAAATCCAACAATTACATAACGTGGTTTCTCTAAGTAAGATGAAGATTTAAGTTGCCACATAACTCTTGTACTAGCTGGAAGTAAGGGATACTCATACATTTTCCACGATCGAAAACTCATAGAAATTAATGGATCCTTTTCAATAAATTTTAATAATTTTATTTTATTGCTATCAGATGGTAAAATATATGGTACTAACCATTCAATTTTATTAATTGTAATTTTAAATTCTTTATTATTGTCAAGATTTCCTGTTTAAATAACAGCATCTAAATCACTTCGCGATCTTATCAAAATGAGTTCATGTTTAGCATTCATAACAATTTTCTTATAATCTTCAGCAAAACCGAAAAGCATACTTAGTGGTATTGTCACGTTAAAATAACAATTTTTTAAAGTCATTTTTAAATCCAAAGCAGAATATTCAAAAACACCTGCATTTCCAGCACGGATAAGTTGAGAAGGTGATAATAAAACCAAATTTTTCATGGTTGAAGTATGACCGACATATTTGCATCGATCAATCTCAATTCCATTTAATTCATAACGAATTTCATCAAATGAATAAGCTACAGCATTGTTGATTAGTCTAAGATTATGTGTTAATTATTTGTTAACTACAATTCGAATTTTAAATTATTGTTTCATATATTCAACGTATTTATATATTAGATGTTATAATTATTTATATTATAGTATTATATATATTGTAAAAGATTGGATGGGTGAAATATGAAGATTATTAATAAACCAAAAAAATTTGTTGCCAATTTTATGTCTACTTTATTTCATAAAACCTTATACAATTATCTTACATATTATTCAATATTATATTAACTTAATAGTAAATTAAATTTAAAACAGTAATACTAATTTTATAACTCACACAAGTAAAAATAAATTCTTAAACCATTTCTAACTTTTTTCTATCTTTAAATCAAGTTAAAACCTGTTTGAAGGTTTCTTAAAAATGTCTTTATTTTCATCTACAGTCAGGTTAAAACCTGTCTAAAGGTTTTTTATACCATATCTATATTCTATTCAAGATTCAGGTTGAAACATGCTTTAAGATTTTCAAACAATACTATTGTCATCTTGGAAAAAGACAAGTTGAAACTTGTTTCGAAATTTTTGAACCATGTATTTGACACCCTTCAAAATCAAGTTGTAACCTGCAAAGTCATTGTCCGTTGTAAGTATACATTCTTTCCAATATAAAAAAATATTAAAGTAAGAAAAAGTTAACTTCAACATTTCAAATAGTTGACTTCAACTTTTCAAATAGTTGACTTCAACTTTTCAAATAGTTGACTTCAATTTGACTGGTATCAATATTTTCTTAATACAAAAAGTATAGTAAAAATATAGTCTTTGTATTATAAGAAAACAATGATACTAGTTAAATTAACTTTAACTTTTCAAATAGTTAAATTCAACTTTTCAAATAGTTGTCTTCAACTTTTCAAATAGTTGACTTCAACTTTTCAAATAGTTGACGTCAACTTTTCAAAAAATTGACTTAAACTTTTCAAATAGTTAACTTCAATTTGACTGATATCAATATTTTCTTAATACAAAAAGTATAGTAAAAATATAGTCTTTGTATTATAAGAAAACAATGATACTAGTCAAATTAACTTTAACTTTCCAAATAGTTGACTTCAACTTTTTAAAAAGTTAATAAAAGAGTTAATAAACTATTACATGTCTGATTCTTTTATCCAACTATTATGTGAATTATCAAAACCTAACCATTTTACAAAGACTTCATCACGACGATTCTTGAGAACTTTTTCTATGAGATATATATCTGAATATTTCACTTTAGAAATTTCTTCTTCGTAGAAACCACCTTCGATGGGTTGATCCTGATAATCTTTCAACTTATATGTTACTGGTTTTGTTGATTTAACTTGAGAGATGGTAAATATTTCAGTTGTCCAGTTTGGTGTATATCCTTTTTCAGAAATATGTTTATTCTTGCTTATTCGAACTTTCGAATATGGTATCATTTGAACCAAATCTGCTTGCCATGTTTCATCCACACCACGCATTTGTACTTTACGACGTGGATAATTTCTTCTAGCTTGTCTATGTAATTCTGTGACAACTGTTAACTTTTTGTCATCCATTTTAAGGTATATATGAATACATCAATACACAACACAATACTGATTCAAAGTTTATATACACACACTTAATATATAATTTTAATTTCAATTAATTCTTCAATAATACTCATAATTAGTATACGATGTTTCTTGCGTATAGCATCACTTGCTTTTGCTATTTCATGAAGCGTTTCTCGTTCTTTCCGAAACATGTTTATATATTGATGTCTAAAATTATACTAATGAAAGTTGTAAACCAATAGATACTTATAACTGAATAAAGCAATCGAAACCTTTTCTATATCTTCCTTCATTTAAATTTCAGTCTGTGTCTATAACAACAAACCCATATCTATCAGAATTCCAACATGTTGAGCATAAATCATGAAATTGATTGTAAGTCATATTTGTATTTACATGATCATTATAAACATGCTTAAGGTTTCTCTCATCTTGTTTAAAAAGTACTAGTAAGTTAATAATTATTATCTCTAACAAGATGTTTGGGAATGTGGGCATATGTCTGACATAGATAGAAACTGTCAACGTTGACATGCCTACCCATGCAAAAAAATGCTCTTACATTGTCTTGCTTCTCGCAAGCAATATCATCAAAAATAAATACTGAATTTGGTTTAGCGTCTTTAGGTGAAACCACTTCTTCATGTTCTCTAAATGGAAAGTATTCAATATCATCAACTTTACTGAGAACTTTTTCTAAAAATTGATATTTTGGTTGTTGTAAAGACTTTGAATATAAATATATATTTTCAAAGCTTAAACCATTCGGATGTATTATTAAAGACAAAAGAGCATTTGTCTTTCCACAATTTGATGGTCCACAAAAAGCTGCACGAATGCTGTTTGAAAATAGACATCCATGACGTTTTACACCATCATCCTTGTTTGGAAGAAGGTTATCAACATTCACTATTGGGAGCTGAACATCTTGTACATTAAACCGCATCTTGAAATCGACTGAAGGTATAGGTATAAATATAGTGTTTATATAGCTGTCTCCAATCAGTCGGTTGTGAACCATAGTAGAGTGAGGAATGATTACTCATGATAAAGTGAAAAAGAAAAAATAAAAAAATTTCTTGTCGTGGTCAAGGTTTTCTCAATACTATAATCAATAAATTGCCATTCGAGTTTCATTTCCCGGGTTATCAATATTGTGGACCTGGTACGAAGTTGGCAAAACGTCTTGCACGTGGTGATTCTGGTATAAACCCTTTAGATGCAGCTTGTAAAGATCATGATATAGCTTATTCAAAAGATAAAGACGTGGCTATAAGAAATTCTGCAGATAAAATACTTGCTGAGAAAGCGTGGGAACGAGTTGTTTCTAAAGACGCTAAATTAAGTGAAAAAGCAGTTGCATTAGCTGTAACTAATATAATGAAAGCCAAGTCTAAATTAAGGATGGGGATAAAAGTTAATAATAAATATAAAAAAATTAAGACAAAGAAATCAAAGAAGAAGAGAAAGAAGGTTGTTTCTAAAAAACATGTTACTTTAAAGAAGATTGTTAACGCTGCTAAAAAGTATATGAAATCTAATAAAAACTCTTTAGATACAACTAGAACTGCTATAATTGGTGCAAGAAAGGCTATAAAACAGTATGGCGGTAAATCTAAGATTATATCACCTCGAATTCTTCCTATACCCTCAAAAGTAGGAGGTATTTTACCTCTTGTAGTAATTTTTGCTGGACTGAGTGCTTTAGGGGCGCTTAGTGGTGGAATTGGCGGTATAGTGAAAGCTGTAAATGAAGCTAATGTTGCTAAGAAAGAACTTTCAGAAGCTCAACGACATAATCATACCATGGAATCCATTGCTTTTGGAAAAGGTTTATACATAAAACCATATCAACGAGGACTTGGCCGTTATATGCAACCTTACAAAGGCAAAGGATTAAATAATAATAAAAAAATGTCAAAAAACTAATATTGAAGCTACCTCACCGTGCACTAAGTGATTATGATCTTCTAAAATATTCTAAAAGTTTAAAAATACCATATTTTAGAGGAGTCTTTATGAGAAATGAATTACCCATAGGAGGACCGTTTCAATATGAATCAGCAATAATAAATCTTGATAATAAAGAAGGTCCTGGAACTCATTGGGTTGCATATAAAAAGGTGAACAATGAAACTGAATACTTTGACAGCTTTGGTAATCTTTCACCACCATTGGATCTCATTGTTTACCTAGGTGTTGGTAGCTGTATAAAATATAATTATAAAAGATATCAAGATTTTTATACGTATATATGCGGTCACTTATGTCTTAAATTTCTATGTAATCAACTTAATGTGAAGAACAGTTTCAGTCTATATAAGACTGTGTAAACATTTGTATACTTCAGTATGAAAGTAGATATCTAACATGAATGATTCATTTACTTTTACGTTAAGTGGGAACTCTTCAGTTCTGGAAGCTTCATTCTTCCCACCAATTGAACTCACATCTAATAAAAATTATGTACTTCGTCTTGTTGATCTACTTACATATAACACTATTCCAAACATTGATAAAGGATGCAATAAGTTTTATACAAATTTTTTTGATCCTATATATATATGGGGCAAAATTTCTCAAGTGTACCAATGTCAAAATTGCAAGTTGTTGTATCAGGCTAATATTTTCACAGTATTTAGTACTATGTATGAGTTCTTCAACCACCAAGTATTATAAAATTTTATAACAAATTGTAGAGGGGGGAGGGGGTTGAAGATTTTGGATAAGTATGAACAGTAAGTCTTCTAAAAAATCGTAGCTTCTATATAATAAAGCAAAAAAAATTTTGACCTATATGTTTTTGGTAGGTTTTTTCACGCTCTTTCAAATGGTGAAAATTTTTTTTTTAATTTTCAAAATTTAACCCTTTTTTTTTTAATTAAAAATTTTTTTGGTTTTTTTTCAAGAAGGACCCTTTTTTTTCTTTTTTTTTGTACCAAAAGAAAGCTTAAGATGTGTACTTTCAATAACTAAAACGAAAAAAATGACGTTTTTTTTGTTTTCGAATTATTAATCAATTAATTAATAAAAATTAATAAAAATTGAAATATTTTACAACAGAATAAAGTTAACGCAATTCTGAAGTTACTACTGTAAAGCACTACAAAATCCGCATCCAACGAGTTCAATATGAAATATTTTGGATAAATTGACGTTTTATAAATAAATATTTATAAAAATTAATTAACAAATGAATATCATTTATAAAAATAAAGATAAAGTGTTAGTTTTTTTTTACACAAATGTTTATACAATTCTACTTTTTAAAAAATGTATTCTAGTTATTTGCAACAATTGTTTAAATAAAATATTCATCACCTTATGCGTGTGTTGCGCTGCATAACTATCTTCCCGGCTGAATATTATTTCACATTTTTTATAGAATATTTTTTTATTTTTTACATTTTTAATGTAAGAAAAGATGGTTTCTTTTTTACATTAATAATTTTTTATTATTTTAATATCAACAAGAAATTTTTACGTAATTCCTAATAAATTAATTACAAAATAATTTAATAATAATAAATAATATTAAAATAATAAAAAATTATTGATATAAAAAAGAAATAATCTTTTCTTACATCAAAAATGTAAAAAATAAAAAAATATTCTATAAAAAATGTGAAATAATATTAAGCCGGGAAGATAGTTATGCAGCGCAACACACGCATAAGGTGATGAATATTTTATTTAAACAATTGTTGCAAATAACTGGAATACATTTTTTAAAAAGTAGAATTGTATAAACATTTGTGTAAAAAAAAACTAACACTTTATCTTTATTTTTATAAATGATATTCATTTGTTAATTAATTTTTATAAATATTTATTTATAAAACGTCAATTTATCCAAAATATTTCATATTGGACTCGTTGGATGCGGATTTTGTAGTGCTTTACAGTAGTAACTTCAGAATTGCGTTAACTTTATTCTGTTGTAAAATATTTCAATTTTTATTAATTTTTATTAATTAATTGATTAATAATTCGAAAACAAAAAAAAACGTCATTTTTTTCGTTTTAGTTATTGAAAGTACACATCTTAAGCTTTCTTTTGGTACAAAAAAAAAGAAAAAAAAGGGTCCTTCTTGAAAAAAAACCAAAAAAATTTTTAATTAAAAAAAAAAGGGTTAAATTTTGAAAATTAAAAAAAAAATTTTCACCATTTGAAAGAGCGTGAAAAAACCTACCAAAAACATATAGGTCAAAATTTTTTTTGCTTTATTATATAGAAGCTACGATTTTTTAGAAAACTCACTGTTCATACTTATCCAAAATCTTCAACCCCCTCCCCCCTCTACAATTTGTTATAAAATTTCATAATACTTGGTGGTTGAAGTACTCATACATAGTACACGGAGAGTAGAGTTATAGTGAGTTGTACTATTACGCATTTAGTAAGAAAATTTGAGTTGTGACAAATAAATATTAAGTAAAGGTTACAAAACAGCGTTCAATTTTTTTTTGTCGATCAAACTAAACATAGTAGTAAGGATGAATGTCTGCTTAGTAAAGCAGACAAAACTAATTCTGTTTACATTTTTAATCATATTATTATTTGAACTTTAAAAAAAATATTAAAATTAATTAAAAAGCTATCTATTAAAAATTAAACGAAATCGAGAAAAAATATTATTTTTCAAAACTTTATTTGCAGTGTTATACTTATTATTTATGCTTGTTATTACAACAAATATTAGGTTATTGTTATCATAATAATTATAAAAAAGTTTAGCTGTTTATTTAAATATGCGACAAATATATTTTGTAAAGAAATATAGCTCTTATAATTTACTCTATTTAACTAAACAATTACAGAAATTATAATTTTTAAATTGATTTATTATTGTTACCTTATATCACCGTCAGTGTATTTTTGTAAAATATAACTTGATTTTCTTCTCGTTCCCCATATATAATAAATTTTTGGAAAAATAATTAATTAATAATAATTATTTCTAAATAATTAATTATTTATAAAGTGTTAACTATTATATTAATTATTATAAAAGAGGTTAAATTTTATTTTGGTAAATTGTAAACAGAATCGCAGATATGACAATTTATATCGTAGACGATACTAATGAAGTTAGTAGTCTTAATAACTAAACGGCCGTTTAGTGAAGTTTACTTTTTGTTTTGTTGAACGAAAAAGTCACCATATTGTTTAGTAACTATGACTCAGGGCTGAGTAAGATTGACTACTTTCTTCTCTCCGTGTACTAAATACTGTGAAAATATTAGCCCGATACAACAACTTGCAATTTTGACATTGGTACACTTGAGAAATTTTGCCCCATATATACCAACAGGCAGTTATGAACTTAAGGATATTATAGCTTTTATAAAGCG